ACCAACCCACCCACCGTCAACCCAACCCACCATCAACCAACAGACTGATCACCCAACCCATCACCCAACCAACCCAACCCATCATCAATCAACAAACTGATCGCCCATCACCCAACCCACAATCAACCCAACCAATGACCCAACCCATCATCAATTAACCAACGACCCAACCAACTCATCACCCAACCAACCCACCAACCAACCAACCCACCACTCAACCCACGATCAACCAACCCAACCCATGATCAAATCAACCCATCAACCAACCAACCAACAAACGATCAAACCAACCCATCACCCAACCAACCCATCACTCAACCCATGATCAACCAACCAACCCAGGATCAACCCAACCCATCACCCAACCAACCTGCCCGTGGTCCAACCCGTCACCCAAACAGCCCCTGACCCAAACCCCCCCCCCCCCCCCCCCCCCCCCCACGCCCCCCCCGCGGCCGCACACACTCAGGCCCCTCCCCCGCCCGCAGTCGCTCCGGTTTATTCCGGATCATTCCGGATCATTCCGGCTCATCCCGGCTCCCCCCCCCGTACACCGCGGCCGCGGCCCCTCCCCCACCCCACCCCTCCCCCTGCCCCTCCCCCCACCGACCCCCCCGTGTGGGGGAGGGGCCGCGAGCGCAGAGATTCCATTGGTGGAGATGTTTAAGAGTTTATGGACCCCCGGGGGGGGTCTGAGAGTCCTGGGGGGGGGTCTGGGGGTCCTGGGGGGTGGGGGGTCATGTCCGAGTGTCCGGTGGGGCGGTGGGGACACGGCGAAGGGGGCGGGGCCGTGACGAGGCGTGTTGGGCCATGTGACATCACAAAGAGCCATGTTGGGGCGTGTTGGGCCATGACGAGGCGTGTTGGGCCGTGTCACACCATGATGAACCGTGTCAGACCGTGACGAGGCGTGTTGAGGCGTGTCGGGCCGTGACGAGGCGTGTTGGGGCATGTTGGGCCGTGTCACCCCCTGACAAGTCCGTGCCGAGCTCGGTCACCCTGCGAGGGACCAGGTGGAGCCGTGACAAGTCCTGTCCTGCCGTGCCGAGTCCGTGCCAGGCCGTGTTCCTGCCGTGCCAGGCCGTGTCAGCCCATGCCAGGCTCTGTTCCTGCCGTGCCAGCCCGTGCCGCACCGTGCCGAGCCACGTGGAGCCGTGCCAGCCCCACATCCTGCCATGCCACGTCCACCTGCACCCCACCGTGCCACGCCCGTGCCACGCCCGTGCCACGCCCTCTCCCACCACAACCACCCCTCCCCTCGCCCTCCCCTCACTCCCCCGGCGCCGCCCCCGCCGCGGTGCCCCCGTTGCGGTGCCGCCGCTGCCCCCCCTCCTCCCCGGTGCCGCCGTCGTCCCCGCGGGCCCGACAGGGGAAGGGCCTCCCCTCCTCGTGCCCGGCCAGGTGCCGGCGCAGCCTCCTCGCGTCCCCGAAGCGCCGGCAGCAGTTTGGGCACCGCGTCCCCCCCTCCCGGCGCCGCTTGTGGCCGCGCTGGTGCCGCAGGACGCAGGGCAGGTAGAAGAACCCCTTCCCGCAGCGCTCGCAGCGGTAAACGTCCTCCCCCCGGTGCCGGCGCCGGTGCTCCAGCAGCTCCGCCCGGCGCCCCAAGGTCTCCCCGCAGGTCCCGCAGCGCCGCGGCCGCGCCGGGCGGTGCCGCCGCTGGTGCTCGGCCAGGCCGGCGGGGTGGGAGAAGCGCTTGGCGCAGCGCGGGCAGCGCA